GTAGGTGTCACTGAGCTGTGTTGCATGCTATAAACAATTACCAAATATTACACTTCCTGTTCATAACAAATTAATACCGGGAAGCGTTTGATGTCAACAATATCTGACCTTACATGATGTGCTACAACACCAAAACATGAGGTGTATCTTATTTCCGATTTTAGTAGTGAATAGGTGCTGAAACACTCTTATCCTATAACTTTCACCAACCTTTCCTTTTGTTTATGGGACCTGTTACCCAGCGGAAAGCCGGATAAGGCAAGACAACCTTCTCTGCTGGTTCTTCTTCCTTTGCCTGCTAAATGCCGTTGAGTTTCAAGGAAGTCTTGAATGATATCAAATAAACAAGACACTAGGCAGCCTCAGTCTGTCTGTCTGTGCAAGACACCAGAGCCAAGCCATATGGAACACTGCCAGACTCAACAAACTTGCACTTGAATGAGAAATATGTGAGGTCCATTTTTTTTTTAAATATCAGAATAATCTCTTTCCTAGTGACCTTCCAATTCTGTACAAACTATATTATGGTAGGTTTAACATCTAAGGCATGGAGTTTTTGAAAAGAATCAGACTGATTGGTGTAAAAATTTGTTAAATTGTTTCATTACTTTGTAACTTATTAAAAAACTATAAATACATTTTCTATTTTCTAGTTTTAACAGGTGAATATTTTGTTTTAACTTTTAACCCCCTGTCAACATAAATAGACCAAGAAGAAAAGTATACAAGTAATTAATTCTTGTATAGTCAACATCATCATCTTTACAATATAAGTGGTATGTAGTAGTTCAACATTCCACTATCTTGTCTTTTACCAGACATCTTTGTCCATTGAACATGCCTAGCTATGCCTTTAATAATTCATGCACAATAGGGAATAAACAATCTGCTGCATACCTGAATGTGTTCGAATTAAGCCAGAAAGACTTGCTTGACTGACAACCAAAATACTATCATCCTACATGGCATTCTCCCTACAGATTATCCTTGTCAAAATAGATTAGTACTTCATCTATAATGCATTGGTTTAAAAGAATGGTTTAGCAAGATTGCGCATGTTTGGCTATTTTTCTCTGATTTGCTTGAACTATCCTTTCCATTTTGAGAGCTTCGGAAGCTCCATAAATTAATGCAAAGTCAAGCTAAGCTGATTCTACCTCATGCGTTACATTGCTAGCACTTAAATCACAATTTGCTTTAATATTTTTGCAATCAGAGAAAGTATTCTTCTCTAAACCTGGAGTGTGTATGCACACACACCTGGCTGGAGTCCAGAGTGAATATTATCTAAGAAATGCAAGGCTGACTTTATAAAATAAAATGTTTGTTTCACTTTCTACTACCACTGACTCACCACATCAACTGTAATTAAGATGATCTTGATCAGAAACACAGCTAACTTTGTAGCTATGTTGTATTCTGCCTTGTGTTGATACAGACAGACACTCAAGAAAGACAGTTCAGACAACCTTCCGTTAACATCTCCACAGTTCACCAGTGTTTTCATGGGTTATCAAAATCCCATGACTGTTGTGAACACTTCACCTTTTTCTCTTTTGACATTTCAGGAATGGCTCAGTACCAGTACCAGGCCACCCTTCCCAGACATCACTTCTCGGATCAGGGTAGAGACATGTGTGAGCTGGAATGCCTGGCTATAATCCAGCACTCCAGTTCAATACCAAGACTCCGATGGCAGGGAACCAAAGGGTCCACAGAACAAGGCTGGTTTAGATTTTTCCCAGAAGGAGCGATAAGGAATAAGTTCGCTTTGACTTAATCTGGAACAACAACAGCACCACTTCTGGAGGGGTATCACCTGTAGATGGCAACTCAAGGGTCCTTCAGACAAATAAACTGACAGGGAGGTCGCCTAATTTCAAACCTAGGGAAACCAGATCACCCCTATCCCTTCAACTCTGTCTGACTGGGGCTTTTTTCCTTCCTATGTTACAGGTATAATGATGCCATACTGGTACACTGGACTGGTTCAGCACCAGTCTTAAGGTTTTGGTTTAGGTCCAAGAAACAAACTCTGTGATTCGGTAATGGACTGAACTGGTATTAGTGTCTCAGGTCACATTACCCTTTTTGCCCTAAAACCTTCCATACATTGCCAAATTGTAAGTCCGTAGCTGAACCTGAACATGAGTTTAGGTATGCATCCCTAGATACAAGTGTTCCTTTATTGACGCTATTGTAATATCATGATACCATATCAGTTGCTCAATGCATTTCAGATATGCAACAGCTATGAGTCAGGAAGTGATTCAAGGGCAATTTACAAAAAAGCACAAGCAAAGGACATAACCACAAGCACAAAAATATTTTGTCCTGGAATATTTCTTACTTTTAAGTCACTTCATTATCTGCTAAGGCTTTATACGTTGATCCAAAAAAGAAACACAAAAACACAAGAAGGACCCTATATTTAACCACACAAGTAGTCAAAATAAAAAATAACGGTGGGAGGTTATCTCCAAATTGCTGTCTTCCCTCCCTCTAGAGCCTGGTTGCTTTTCCTGGTACAGTCTTTATCAGTTGTCAGTTGGGACCAAATTTTCAAACAGTTCAGTTGTGGTATTTTGTTTTACCCTCTCCACAAAGCCTGGATGAGAAGCAGTGAAGGTAAACATCAGACAGAGATAGGGAGTGACCAAGAAACCGCAAATCATCTCTTTTTTGGACTTCAAAGACTTCTGTGTCCTTCATCTGTAGCCTTCCTGACTTGTGTGTCTATTATCTACCTGCATACCGACCTGGAAGTTCCACATTTTTCTACAGGTAAACTATGTGCAACGAAGGGTTCCCTTTCAGTGACACACCCATCTCAGCCAAGCAGACGCGACGTGTGTGTCAGTTTTTGTCCGACATAGACTGTATTGTGTATATTTTGAGTTGGTTTCTCGAGGTGATTATGCATCTCTAGTTATATACACAATCACAGACAGAAACTGCAAAGTCCAGTCCAGCTGGTTCTTCTCAACTTGTGTGGTGATTTTAACAATTAGGGCACAGATCAACTTCGGTTCAGATTTCTCTTCACATGACCAGACACACGCTCCAGACCTGTCAGAAATCTAAGTCATGCAGGTTGCTGACCACTATATGATTGCTGACCACTATATGATTGCTGACCAATAATAAATTACTCATCTATGAGTAAGTCAGCCTTCAAAAGTCTGATGACCAAACATGCTGAGTTTACCATTAGCAAGACGTGTGGATTTTGATATAAAATTTTCATCACTGAACAACAGTGTCTTTCACTTGTCATATCAAAATGACTTTTAAGAGATGTCGCTATGAAATTTCCCAGTGATGACAGCATTTCCAAGTGCTCATGTAAAAACAGAGCTCATAAGCCTAGTGTCAACCCAGCTTGGGACCAGCAAAGTCCTGTTTATTTCACTCAAGCCAAATATTTAACATTCAGATAAGAACAGTGGAGAATAAACAGCAGAATATTTGGGGACAACAGCTTGTATGTTTTGACATTTTCCTCTGAATAAAGCTAGCTGGGAAAGTCGAGATCAAAGCTAGCTGGACTTCTCCTATCCTGTCATGTGTCAGGAGGTGTCAACAAGTCCTGTGGATGTCAACAAACCAAGAGCTAGTGTATCTTTCTTGTCAGCAGTTCCTTTTGCAGGTCCAGGAGATGTCCTGACCCTACACTCCAGCCTTCCTCTCGCTGACCCTTCCCAAGGTTTATGTTACACGTGGTTCCATCTCCCACAACGGTCACTGTCAACTTCACTACCCTTCCGCGTCACTCACACGGCTCCTAAGGAGTCTAAAATGGCATTAAAGGCAGATCTAGCGGATTTGGCAGGCCACCCTAGGTCAGTGAAGATCCTCTGGAGATGCAGGAAGATACCAGACATAAGTCTCTCAAGCTGTGTGACCACCAGCAGTTTGTATACCTGGTATGTCCTGCAGCTTCCTGCATCCTGGATATCCTTCACTCTCGTGTTCCTTTTCCATATTCATATGTCAGTATAAGGATCAGGAGAAAACACAACAAAGAATATATGGTCCCTATCTCCTTGGCCCTTACCCAAGAACTTGTTCTGTAGCTGTAGATCTAGACTAGACCTTGTTGTGTATCACCACTGTTGTATATTTTTAGGTGCATGCAAAATAATGGGCTATAACTTATAAGATGACACATTTTGTGTTTGGGTCAGTGAATTCATGTGGACAGATGCATAGAGCACTCTACGATGTGACAGATGTCCCAGGAGAAATAAAACAAAAATACATTTGCATCTGCTCATTTTCAGTCAATATGCGTTCTAAAAAAAAGCATTGCTGACAAAAACTGAAAAATGAACTCTGAACCGGTGTGTGAAGTTAGTTACAAAATGTTTCTAACAATGTGAGATTTCCGTAGTTAGCTCAAAATTGTAGGCAGCTCTTTTCATGGAGCTTACAGTTCACCCCAAGGCTTTTATCTATTGTGTCTAGACTGAAAAGGGAGGGGTGACCACACCCATTTAGGGTACCAACCTAATCACCCCACACTTCACTACAATAACACTTGCCATACATAAACTGGTACATGGCCTTGCCCACTTTTTCATAACTCAGGGTATCATCTATCAAATTGTCTCTAGAAGGACACATCCCTTTTAGCCATCAAGGAATGTTCCAGTTAAAAGATATAAATATATCACGCAACCCCAAATATATACACCTCATCCGGTCCAAAATCTGCTTATAGTAACAAACCTAACCATGGTTGAGTCCCTTCCAACATAAATTTTATGCAATAATTAGGAAAGAAAATAACACCCTTTTATTAATATCACTGTGTACCAACTGTGCACTCATGCATATATGAAATCATAATAACTCTTGGGTAACACACACACAATAGTTTCGTCACAAATGTGCCATTGATGCAGCACTAAATTGAAGTACCCTTTCTAGCCAAAATGTTCTTCACCTAAATAAAAGTGGCTTCTGCCCCCCCCCCAAAAAAAAACTGATTTACTCACGTGCAAAGGATGGACTGGTCTTCCCGATCTGAAACACATAATAAAAAGAGAGTCAGATCCCTGTCAAAGAAAATCATACAACCTGACAACAAACATTGTAACATAAAAAAGAACAGTCCACCAATTACTTAAATTCAAATTACAGGCATACATAAATATGTCTTCTGTTCAAAGAAGACAGCTCATTATTAATATTGGAACATCAGTACAACTGGTCTTTTATAGATAATCAATAATTGCAAATTTGCAGTAGACAAAAACTGCATGAAGATCAATTTTGAAAAACATTGGCCAGTGTCTATGCATGATATGGGTCATAGCGACCTATGTAACATGTTACAAATTTGTCACATATACCTTTATGAACAGGAGACAAGTCAACCTCATTTCTTCCATTTTTTGGACTATCTTATAACCCTTTGATTTCTGATATGAGTAATCACACAACTGTTCTTGTTTTGTGTTATAAAGTATACAGTACAGGCAACCAACTGAGGGACAAGTAACCCCCTTCTGCTTTATTCCCTGCCAGAACCAGGAGCACAGTTGGACGCTGATCTAATTTCTAGTTCATGATACTGTTCCAACACGGCCTGGGTTCGAAATAAAGGGTCAACAACCTATCAGAGCGAGAGGTCAGCATCAAAGGAGCTGGTCAGACATCATAAATCTGAACATTTAACAGGGTACATTAGGTGCCCTCTGGATACACACCACACTTTCAAATTATCGTTAGCATGTAATGGTTTTTCTCTTCAGGAATAAAATGGTGTGAGTGTGCTTTAGTGGATGTCTTTTGTTCTGCTTGGGTACACAATGCTAATAAGCTGTGTATTTTAAGTTGTACACATTCGACTTATTCCTGAGAGTGAGATACTTGCTTCTAGGCTTTGGACTAGTTAGCTGTTTTAATAGAGAGGCATGTTATCCACACACACAGCTACAGACAGTGTAATAACACATGTGACATTCTCAGAGATAAATCCAAACATTACACCAATGGTGATTGGCTTGAACCAGCAGTTGACCTTTCACCCTCCCCTTCTAGAAAAGCATTCTTCAACATACCCTTGAATTGTTGAAATATGCAAGCAAGGTCACTGTGATATTAGGTCTTAAGGCTGCAACCAGGTGAAAACTTAAGAAAAGTAGTGTTTTTTCAAAATCCATCACGTATTACCTGTTGGTCTAATTACAAAATCTACATCCTTCTCCTCTTTACTTTGGTTGTTTATGAAAATAGAGTTTTCTGTTCAGACAAATGGTGATTAAACAAGGACCAGTTTGGGAAGCTGCATTTGTTGTTTCTCGCCACTGCGTTATTTACCGAAAACCTGGGCTGGAATGTCAAACAAACGGAGCGGCCAGCACATGTGGTCATCCCGCTATCTTCCGTGCATAGTTTTCCGAGAAGCCTCGGCCCCTTGGTTACAAGAATGATCCCTTTTCTTTATCTCATTTTGTGCAAGGACAGGATGTTTTCTGAGAGGGGATCACTTACAGATTCAAAACAAACCAAAACCAAGCTGTATCATGTTAAGTCAGAAAGACGTAAGAAGGAAAATCTATTAATTGTATAATTAATTTCCAAAAATATCGGAACCCATTTGGTCTCTAAGGAGGGATAAACGTTAACTTGATAGTATTTTCCCTACTTTCCTGTTTTGGAACAGGATCTTAGCAACAACAAAACAAACTACCAGGATAAAAATGCTCGACAAGTAATGTTCTAATTTACTTGTTTACTGCTTCTTTGTCCTTCATCATGCCTTCGATTCATAATTGACATAATCGGGTCAAAACATGGCCACTTTCCATGTGAAAGTTGTTTCCAACAAATCCAAGTTGCAAATAACAAGCGACACGGCCATTATTTAGAGTTAGGGGAAAGAAAAACACCGGGCAGACACAGCCATTTTGTTTAGGCTATGTTCCATGGGGGATGTTGATTCGCCCTTGGCTTGCCCGTGACAGTGAAAGTAACCTGAAATCCCGTAACTCGGCCTGGCAGACAACAAGCTGGTTCACGTTTACCTACAGATTTACGACAGAGGCCTAGGGGGTGCATTTTCCCATTCTCAGGAATCCTACCCAATTTTTTTCCCTCCTAGACAGTGCTGGTGAAGACCCGGGGTGGTGTTCCCCATCCCCCAAGCAAATCTGATAAGCAACAAGTCGGACTGTAGTATCAATTATTCAGGAATGTCAATAAATCACTGGTTGTACCCCGAGACAGAAGAAGAGTTGCGGAATGCTGCATACTTGCCAATGGCGGAAAGGCATCATGTATCTACCATTCATTACAGTTACCGTACATGAATAAGGAAATCACACACGTGGATGAACAGCAGAAATTTTTCCTGCAGGTGATGACATGTTTTGCGTCATGCAAACATTACGAACATTTGTAACGAGAACATTACGGGACTTTAATTTACTGTCATCTTTCTGGCTAGGATCAGGTCAAATCATTGGTCATGTGATAAGAGTTTAAAACTGGGACATGATCCAGACCCTTAACACTTAGATTTATTATGTGGCATGAATATATAAAGGACTAATAATAGGAGAATGTGATGAATTGAGGGGAAAAAGATAGGCGAATCTTTTAAAGCATCTGTTGGTATAGATACCTTTGGCACAGTTCCATTCAAGGATTATATAAACTAGAGCCAGATGCTTTGTCTTGCTAGTTCCACTGATTCAAGCTTGCTTCAGCAAAAGAAGTCAATCTAATACGAACCACTTAATGTCACGTTATCTTGATAAAATGGCCTTTCGGAGTCTTCCCATGCTTTCTCGCCAGGAAACAAATGTGATCTTATATTAGTTAAGACAATGCTGCAGCAGATATTCTACCCGTAGGTCAAGGTTCAAATACAACCCTTCATATTGGTATGACACATTCTGGCAACATCTAATGTAGTGCAGAGGTCAACCATCCTACCTCTATTACAGACAGGACTTTTATGGGTGTAAATATATATATACAAATTCAATCAAATGTGTGTAAATTTAACTACAAGGGGAAAATTTATGAATATGAATAAACTGCAGACGTGCTGGAAATGGGCAATGATAAAATCCAGACAACATTTTGTGACTAGAATTCATTAATATTCATGGTCATACAGTAACCTAATTCATGGACCATGTACATACTAAAATTTCTGGTGTTCTTCATTTCTAGTTCTGCAAACATATGGAACATTTGTTTTCATGAACCCCTTTGGTTACAGGTGGACTGTGCAAGATTTTGCATGCAAGATCCTTATCTCTCCACCTTAGCATGTTGAATGTATGCAAACCAAATAACTGAGAACCAAACTAAAGCTTTGAACACTATGTTGTGGTACCATATAATAAAGGGTGTCCTAGAAACAGGCCAAGAGAGGAACAATTTGTAATGATACCATTATTATCATTTATAAATGGTGCCTCACGCCCCCCAACTTATGTAAACAATAACACGTCAAACAGATTCATTGGTAGCTATGCTAGACCATATACCGAGCAAATAATACATTTTCTTGACCAAACAACTGCTTTGTTAGCTTTTATACCACACCTTTCAGGTAGATTTGGATTATTGAAAGACCTTAAAACCTGGGCTCCAATCAAAAATACTTAGTATCCAGGTCTTGCATGGTTGTCATTCTTCAATAGCATTGACAGCACCGTAATTATGGACTGCAAGGCACACACCCTGACCTGCAGTAACCTTTCCAAAGCTAAGAAATAAACACCTGCAATTATCGTAAGTCTCACTCATCACCAACAAACCAACTTCACAGTAAACACGTCATTTTGGTCAAGGCCATTCATTCACTGCATCGATACCTTTCCTTTACATATGGAAAACCCATAACAGGTCTCAAGCACTTGTCTGACAGATTTTAAGTGATCCATCATGGCAAATCTCCTGTCTTTTGTTCCAGGTACCTGATGCATACACTGGGAGCTGCCCTGAAACAACTGCTAACAAAAAAGATGTCTGATTTAACTCCGCAGATACTAGGAAATCCTTTTCTGGTGCAAACTGCACCCAACGTTGGAGAACAGAGACTGCTCTATAACTGTAACCCAACAAGAAACAACTAGGCTCCCTGTCTCTGTTTCAAAGCACCTGCATTCCAGACCAAGCGCAAACAAAGCTGGCATGTAAAGTGAGCTCTGATTGGCTGCCGGTGATGTAAGTGCATACCTTTATGCTATGTACAGGGGAGAGAGCCCTTGGCCCACTGGGCGAGACTCCCCCACCTTTGAAGGGGGGAACTCCCATTGGCTGGCAGAACAATGGCATTCATTCCTGACTAATCCGAACCTACTTTTCAACTCTGTGGTGGCGGGCAACCTTGCCTGGCTGTCTCAAGGACCTTTTCGCGTAAAACCGAGAAACGAATTAACAGATGGCTGGTCTCAATGAAAACTATGTAGATCTAGACACTTTGAAAAGAGAAGGAAACCAACATTTCTTTCTGTCCCATTTTTAAGTTCTAATTTCCAGCATTACCAATAATTTACGAACAACTTTTACAGCTCTTCCTATTTATTTGCACATGCTGCTACCACCCTTTGCTCTGTAAAGCTTATAACATGACAGGTCACTCTTGGTGGTGGACCGATGGCAAATACGATTGTACGTCATGATCTGAACACACACACATGCACGCTGTGTGGCCAACACAGAAAATCTGCACACCAGACTTCTCTGAACCAATATTACTCATGTAAATCCAGACAGGAAATTCCTGCCAGAGTCACAGAGCTTCCTCTGTTGGTGCATTCCTGCAGTACCCAGTCTGTCGTTTCCTAACAGTGCAACACGCTTCCCCCTTTTTTGGACATGCACAAGCTCATTACCATCTTAACAGTCCTGACATAAATAAATATCACCATGGCTTTGGTTATACAGTACTTCTTTGTTTATTCGTCACTTCCTTTACATTAAGGATATCGTAAAGCTGCTTCCTTTTCAAATCTGATATGTGTTTTGTTGACCTTTAGCCAGCAAAAATACTCTTATCCTTTAAAATGGAATGCAAAATTACAAAAATGAAATCCTTGTCAGATTAAACAACAATAATTTTGGTTTCAATTTTGCAGATTTACAAAGAATCCATAATAAAGGATGCTCAGATGTACCATTGAAACCTGTGTTCCCATTTTGAATTTAGCGATAGACCTTTCACACTAGGAATGAAACATTCAACAGGCCAGACATTACTTTGTGTGGTCATTAATTTCTAGGCAGTTTAAAGGAGCATGACCAGCCAAGTTGTCAGGCTTTGATGAATCACCAGCAAGACATAGGGCCACCAGGTCAACCCTGGGGACCTTGACTAGGCTAAGAATAGACACCAGTGAACTTATGCTTGTGCTCACAAGTCACATACAGACAACACTGGGACAACTGCACCACTAACCCAATGACGACATTAGCCATAATTCCTCTCATAAATTTTGCATACGACGCAAAAGACACTATGTGCTAGCAATTCTGATGAAAATATTTTCATATTTGACATATTTTTTGCTGTTTCTTTGCTCACAAGTCCACCTGGTAGACTTCGTCAATGTTTAGAATTTCAACAACATTCTTGGCTTTAAATTAATGTGAATTCCAAGTGACCACTTCAATGGAATAACACAATGACTGTATCTGTGAATGCAATGTTTCCTGAATGTAAGAGCTCTTAAGTCTTAGATCCCAATCAAGTTGCCCCTCCCATCTCGTGGCATTAATTTGACACATCCTAATCCCAAGAAAGTCTAGTCCCAATCTTAATGGATCGGAAACCATTAACATTGGATCTGGTTTCTTCCAATAATCCAGTTTCTTCACAAAACCCATTTAGATCTCTTGCATGAGTCCTAGTTTGAAGTGGATATAGGTACAGTGCCCTTCCCAAATACTGTAGTATATTACCAAAGAGGGCAACTAGTAGTATATTACCAATGTCACTGAAGTCTCAAATAAATTGTTCCGGGCAATGCTTGGCCCCATGTATACAATGTACCAGGGTGCTTCATCAGTGTCCACCAAATAGCTAATTTGCAACAGGGCAAATCAGGACTTTGCACAAGCCAATGGTCACACATGCCAGCCCACACCTGGCAGTTGGAGAATGAACCTAATCCTTGTACTAACTTCTGTCCCCTGCAGTCTGGCTACCATCGAAAAATGCGAGCCCTATCGCCTTTCATTAATTCTGTGGTGTGAAAACAATCTCTGAAATCACAGGCAACAATTGCACGCCATCTATCATGTTGGAGTCTGTCTGGTGTGACTGTGGCAGCGGTTGTTTCAGTGTGTACGTGCATTTCACTCTGCAACCTAAAAAAGGCTAACTAACTTTCGTGGTACCAGCAAGCCGAGAGAACACTCCATTTCAGAAGAAAGCAAACACTACATTCTTGCTTCAGTGCCCATTAAAAGTTTTTGGCCAGGAGCCTTTCAAGACACTCCACACACTGCATTTTGAGTTGGACATTTTTTAATGCTTTCTAACATTGAATGGCACTCCCAAAAAGATGCCATATGTCACGATGCCAATATCAGATTTTCTCCCTCATAGTACCCACTTTTGGTAAGGAGTTTACACTTCAATTGTCTGTGTATGTCCTCTTAACCCCTTGGCCAGTCATTCTGGACTCTGGCCAATGACATGGCTGCAAGTATGTGTTTTAACAACATTGTGCTAGATATAATTGCACTCCTTCCCCCTTTCCCAGACAGAGCAGCCGACACATTCCCCTGGTACCAAGGTCACAGGCAGCCAACTGGTAAACCACAGCTAAATTCATCCCTCCTCATTACTGGTAATGCAGTTCCCTTTCCAGTTGGTTCTCCTGGCGCAAAAAATTATCCACTACAGCCTGGAATAATGATGTCATGTGCAGTGCCAAAACAGGAACACACTGCCACTCACAGGGGGCCTTTGAAAGGGAAACTTGATTCTTCATTTCCAAAATCAACAGCAGAGCAAATACAGCCTTTTAGCAGCGTCTGGTGCGGTTTTCACAACATCTTACGATTCTTGTGTACCTTAGACTGAGATATAAAACTGGTAAGTCAAGCAATTGCAGAGTATGGGTGAATAAAGATGTAGAGTGGAACTGTGGATTTGTGCTGGGGGTCTGGATATGTGTGACATCCGGCAGTACATACATCTGGGAGCCAGTTGTAACCTTGTGAGTGTGTGCCCAGCAAAAACTAGCAGACATCTCAGGTATTTGGGAAACATGCACTCAGTAAACAGCCAGTGTGCTCTGTTAGGTTACCTCGCAAAGGCTTTTACCAAAGTAACAGATCTCTTATTGCAAGGGCTGATACTTGGGAGAAATGAGTGTATGATTCCAGTAAGCACTACTCAGAATATCCTCTCACTATACAGCTAGCTGTGCATGATGTATTACAGCATTCAATAAATCATTAGCCTTTGCTTCGATAAAAAATAATTAAAAAATGCGATAATGGCCATACAATTTTCTTTACGTTTTGGTTGTACTCCCCAAATGAAGTTGGGTTTGCCCTTATAAAAAATATCTCTCTGATGTACCATCTTGTTCCGCGAACTTGGCATTCACTGCCAAAGACCTACATCAATATTTGAGAGGCCAAACTTCCCCAAGCCAAACAACCATCACCCATACGACGGGTCAACATGTACGCCCATTTATCAACTTCTGCAATCTGGTGTGTCAAAAACACATACAAGAGCCTCTCTTTCTCTTTCACTTAGGACAGGATGTGTTATGTATGGACATCATAAAGTCTTCTCAGAAAACATGACTTAACAGGATGTATACATAATAATAGTCAAGTTCAAAGTACACCTATAGTTGCACGTACGCATTATTACCTTTCCACATGGACAGATGGATTGAGACAAACCTAACCACACAAATGGAGGGAAGACTGTGAAGACACGAAACAACACAAAACTTCCCACAGATAAATATGATGATGAATGTGAAGCTTACCTTGGAGCATACTCCTGTAGGCAGAGTCTGTGATGGCAAAAACATGAGGGGGGACTTCATGCCTTTTCTTTCCCCTGTACAACTCGATAACTTTGTCTGTGTAGATCGGCAGCTTCTTGTAGGGGTTAACCACCACACAGAACAGACCGGAGTACGTCTAGGAGGAAAGAAAGTTGTCCAAATAATAAAAATATTGCTGTGTTTCTAAAACAAGAAAAAAAAGGTGTGCATGTTGACATTAATTTATTCCTATCATTATCCATCCCCATGTGCCAAATCCTGCACATTTCCTTCTTTTTAGTTATTATTGTTCATCCATTAACGTTAATTAACTAATTACATGGCTAATCAACAGCATGACTGAATTGAACTCAAAATAGTAACAGTTTGGGGTCAGTTGTCCCTACATCACATGTATATGAAAGTGTGTAACTTCAGAGCACTTCAAAGAGCTAATGACCTTTTGCAACACATATACTGCATACAGCTTCTTGTCTAAAACATCAATATGTTTATGACACTGTCTGGTGTAACAGAAATCAGTCTATTGTAATGTGTCAAGTGCCTATTTTGACCAATACTATAAAGTGGCACTGATAATGTGTGAAAGCAGATGAACAAACACAACTATTTTAACTAGCTGAAAATGTAGTATATGACAATATCATGTTTCAGTGCTGGTGCTTTAGTAGCTATGAAATTAGTGAGAGGACTGAGTCTGAGTCGATACATGCACCTTCTCGCAGTAAACACACAAATGTGTGAATTGAATATCTATTGAAGCTCGACAGAATTTGAACCCACATATAGACCAGATTTTGTTGACACAATAAGGTCTGTTAGCACCTATTGTGCCTTCCGGTTGGTCAATTCAGAATGCAAAGAAAAGGCTGCTAACAATATTGAAAACTGCATGCTAACTTTCAGCTTACATGGTCACGTCCACGTTTATTTCGAGTTTAGAGAGCAGTGAACTGGATAGTGGGGAGGGGGGCGACTTCCTCCCTCCCAGTGCACTATGGTATTTCCGACATTCCAACGGCTTCGGGTTTGTTTGTCATCGTAACACAGTGTAATTTTTAAGGGCTATGGCATCGGCTTGGCTTGCTTATGTTATAATTTCCCAATTACGATAGTAGAGCTTTCTTTTGGACTGATTGGGACACGAGTTTTCGTCTCGTTTGGGCAGCGTTCTCGGCGTACATGCCCCTCCCCGCCGGGCTTCCGGTTGGGCGACAAAAAACGCTCGAGACCGTGAGAGGCCTAAACTCCGCCGGACATATTTTTAGCAACTTTGTGACGCAGCTGCAGCTAGAATATTTCATCCCTTGTGTCTTCAGACCCCACGTGTGGCTACTGTAGTTAGAAATTTTTCAAATTTGACAAGAAGCATCAACATTTACCGCCTAAACGGTCGGGTGCGAGCCCGACTTCAGGTCGGCGACCCGTTTTCTAGTTCTACGCGGGCTCCCCGCTAAATGAAGTACAAACAGACGACTTACATAGATAAGACCAGAATAGTATCGCTCCTTGAGGTTGTGGAGAACTGACGCTTCGTTGAGACATGTCAGGTCCGCCATGTCCTCCACTTTGGAGAACTTTGGCGGGTTCATTTTTTGGATGTCATCCTTGTTGACTACGATCTTCTTGCCCGAATCGAGCTCAACTGTCACCTCCTCCCCGCGCTCAGACTTGACGCTGGCAGCCTCGAATCCTTCTTTCTCGGAAGGGATCCATACTAGCCTTTTAGCCGTCCAGTCAGCTTGGGCCGCAGGGTCGTTGACGAAGGATCCCCGATCAACAACTAAGTACTTCAGCTCTTGTTCGTCTCTGTAGTCCGCCATCTTGAATATCCCTCACACCGTCCTCACCGCACGACTCAAACTTTTCCCGTCCCGGAAACGACGCAAAAACTTCAAATTCCTACGAGTCGAGTGTTCACCGAGCGAGCAGTGAGCTCTTCATGTGTTGGGTTGAGTCCGTCGTAGCGCTGCACCGCGTGTTTGGCTGGTGCTGGACTGGCAGACACGACGGGTGTAGGATTTGAACCTGTTCTGTTGCGCCACGATGATGGCCGCGCCCGCCTGATGGTTGGACAGGTCACGTGATCCCGGGTCCCACAACAGCCAAATCCGCGACTTCCTCAGATTATTTCCTCAGGCGAGAAAAGTTATCCACCGCAGACCCTGTTTTCCAGACAATCAGATCAAATTCGACAGAAATTCGGCGTCTTCAACCCGAAACGGCGAGAATATCGTCTGAAGTCTGGTACCGGCTGGGTCACGTGATCAGTAAGCCGGCGAAAGGCGATTAAACTTTTCCTATTATTTTCTAACGGCAGTAAAACTTGCAGGAGCTGCAGAGAAGCCTTCCACCTTGTCCTGTAGACTGTTTTTCACCTTTGTCGTGCGATGACGACCCCTCAAACTATGCCAGTCATCCACGCCCGCATCCTATCCACCAAGTCAGCGGGGTCAAGTTTCTGGGGCTGCGGAAATATATGCATGACATCATTTTGTGAGGTCACTCCAGGCGGGAAGTCGGGTTTGATTGGTTTGCTTTGTTGGCTTGCTCATTTGAATCGGTCCTCGTGTTTGCTGTCACCCACACGGATTGCTCAGTTGTATCAAATCACTAGTCGAAACGGTCTGCGGGACACGAATTTCATTCCGCGGTTGTTGTGAATGGCTTGCTGTGCCAAATATACCCAATACATCAGTCAAGTTGCATATAACGTTACGTTATAATGTCATGTGTTTTCCCAATCTGAAATATTTTTCTTTATTTGCATGTCCAAAGTCCAAAACTTAACCTGAGTGTAACTTATGACAGTGCCCCACTTTTTTTGTATGACAGGCGACAGCCAAACGACTTCTTTTTGAAACTAAAGCTGAGTTCCTGAAAATAGATCCGACCTGTGTCGGCTTTTCTTTGTTCTTTTGCATTGAACACAGAACCACCCGCAGACCAAATAAGGGGCGTTTCCCTTGTGGGAAGAAAAAGGTTTTGACACTGAACTCATTAGTACATTATTACTCACAGCGGGTCACACTTTTATGTAAAATCATGGTGAGCATCTAAATAAGACAATACTGCAAAGTTTTGCCAACTATACTATGTTTGGGAAGGGGAAATATGGGCTAGTAAGAGATTATTGGGCCGTGTAGGTCCAGCCCAGTAGGCGAAACAGATCATGTTCTATTTTCTTTCTTCATGCATCTCCTTGTTTCTTCTTAATCGTCTAGGGGCCACCGCAAAAGGTCGTGGACTGTGCAGTCAGCACTCAGCAGTACAGGTATCGTTTATTGGGTTGGGTAGGCGGCACCTGCATACATGAATTATAACCACCGAGTTAGGTACGTTTAACGTTACATATAATTTCATGTTTGAATAATCGCGTCTACAGAAGTCAAAAGTCAAATACGACCAGACCTTGTTTAGACTCTGGAGTCCCACCTGACATGTGTTCATAACATTAAATGGGGTCATAAACTTTGATAAAGGCTAAAAATAGCCAGGAATGCCAATTCCCAGCGGGTCTAGTCATGAAATTTATCGGCGACGAACAATCGACAGAAGTCATGCCAAACTACTTGGCGGTCAACCATTTGCAACCGGCATTTTTTAAACAAAAGTGTAACTGTAAGAAATAAAAGAAAACTCCGACAGAGGTCGACGTTTCCTCCATTTGTCCAAGTCAGGGATTGTTTAGACCGTGGTGGTGGTGTTGAAGTGTTTACCTTCGGCGCGCTTTGCGTCACTTCCCGGGACCTGGACCTTTGCACACCGTACCGCCAGAATTCTGAATTTACCATATATGGTAAAAGGTGAGCGGGGCAGATCACCTTACAAGGAACGTTAGAATTTCCACAGGACGGGACGGTGACGTCATCCGGTGAGGTAAACCACAAATGACTCACTGCAATGATGAATTCTCGACGGGTATTACACATGATCCGATATATCTCCATCTCCAAACGTGTAGCTTTTACTGTACAGCGTAAGTCATTCATTATAAGGTAGGGGAAATGTGGAGTGCATGTGAAAGTATGCCAGATATGTCGCCTTGAATACCTGCTTGGCATACCAGCTGAGTCATGCCAAGTGACGTCACGTAGGTATAATTAAATAACAGCTTATCTTGTGCAGAGGGAATGTGCTTGTTATCCCAGTTTGTTGGTAATGCGACTTAAAGCCATGACCGTCCAAGTTGTTTAACGCACGAAAAGTTTCTGAGTGAATGTACAATGAACAATGCTGTTGACCTTCGCGTGGTGTTATACGAGAATGGCGCCACCAGGGAAAGCGCATTTTTGTGGTTTTGTGGTTTCTTTTGCTTCAAGGCATCCTTTGCATTTGCTTCTTGATTTTCCAACTTGTTACACATTTTTGTAAACATTATTGGTAAATAGCCAGGAAAGTAGACCTACTTCGTTCTTCGTTATACCTCTCTTGTACAAATGTGATGGTTAGAATTAAACATCCTTTCTGATAGTAATTATTGCTTATTGATTATAGAATAATTAAAGGACATGAACTTCGAAATTGGTATATTTGTCTTCTTGTGTCACCCGACTGTTTTTTTTGGGGAGGGGGGGGTAAGAAGACCGTCTAAGAAGACCAGATTCTATAGGTCCCCAGGATGGTCTTCTTATACAAGTTTGACTGTATCGTTTTATTCACTTTAACATCTGTAAGGCATTTCGGTTTTTGGCAAAGTGAAAGTGATTTTAAGCTATTTCTGGAGTTTAAACATGTAACGTCATGCGTTGTGCAGGTAGCCCTATCACAACTGATACAGCAGGTATATATTGACTCCTCATATATCAAAATCTGACAATCGGACTGTTGGAAGGTGGGGTCTCTCATTTCCGGACCTGTCAGTGGAATATTTGTCGTCGGGGTTCAGACACAAGGGCAGGGGCTTTATCGTCTGACAGCAGGCCCGTGCCCCATACGAGGATCCCGGTACTCGGTGACCATCGGCAGTGGTTGGTCCTAGCGGGGCGCGGAACCAGATCTAGAAGTTCCGGTCAGGTTGTGATACAGGTTTGACTCTGCAAGAATGCTATCAATGTCAACTTCCGCCGTGGAGATGGGCAGTTTGGAATCTCCCCGGCATTCTTGTTTAAAGGGAAATATTTGCACGAGGACGCTTGACCTAAAACTTGTGCCTACAAGGTGGTGATAGTCCAAACTCAGAACGAAGAACTAGAAGACACTACAGGTGGTTAGACTGAATGTGTAAAAACGACAAAATCGTCCTTGTCTAGGCATACACGTGTGTATATCTTCATATGATTAATATCTCGGAAACAAAAGAAAGTTTTAAAACTTTCCTTGGATCTTTTCCCTTCCGCATGTGGTGTGCAGGGTAGAACCAGGCATTTGTAAACTTAACCTTATTTGGTCTTTGGTAGTATTTTCTGACTGTTCCCACCACTTTCGACAGACCACCAATTGTTGCGGAATGTACGAGGTCAACGATCAATCCCCAAAAATGTCAGCAGACTCACGCTAAAGGTCCGAAAGCGCAGAAACGGTTGAAACGTTCACGTTGCATTTTTCACTATATCCGCTAAGTGTCGCTGTTCTAAGGTGCATTCACAGGTGCATGTTTTCGGAGATGAGGCTTGCAAACTGGCCTGCATATACCAAATACCTTTGACAGGATAGTTGTTTTCGAAGAGAAAAAGTGTACTAAGAGGAGAAAATAACTGTGGCAATATTCTACATGGGGTTACTAATGAGTTGATACTTTTTAATGGCCGTCTGTCATCTGTACTAAATCCCCAAAAAGAAGCATTAGTACACCGTAACGTTTGTTATAACTATGCGGACAATGTCTTAATGCATGCTTGTACTCTCTCACTCAAAAACGCAACTTGTATGTAGGTAAACGGTAAACTTTCCGTCGAATCGAAGTCCTGACTCACAGAAGGGCTTTAACATCAATTATCCTCAGCTTACAACTAACGAAGGTGAGTCTAGTGTGACAAAATGGATAATTTCACATGATGCCTGACCTCTGTCCCTGACAGACACATGTTTCTCATTTGGTGAAGTAATGAGCTGAAGACCAATAACCGTCCTTGACTCCTTGCCTTGGAAACTGTGAATATCTAGTAGCCTTGTCTGATCCGATATCAGTGGGAAATGGACAAGGCCGAATGGGAACTCTGTCTGGAAATTACAAGATAACAGAGAACTGTCAGCTGTGACTGAGAGGGAAATGTTGTAAATGATGAGGAGCAGTGCATTTGTCCGTGCACTTCCACAAGTTATTTGCGAATGTATCGCATGTACACGTGGATTTACGCATTCATATAAGTCTGGTAGGTAATAAAATATGCAAGTAGAAAAGTTGAACCGTAGTTGAGCACAGTTTTGTACTGATTCACGCCTCAAATTTTGACGTACAAGTAATTTTGATATAGACCCATACCAGATAGTAATCTTATTATCTGCCATACATTGTACCTGTTACAGTAAACTTTGACTTGACTTATTCTGAGATGGAGTATCCCCTATATGTCCGTCCCCCATATGAAGTATATCTTTGGCATTAAACGACTCCTCCGCTCCAACCATTGAAACTGTTTCAACGCATTCATCATCTTTGATCTTTCTGTTTCTCGAGGTCGAATAACTTCGTGTTTGTCACCAACTAAGCGATTCGGAGGAACGAGACCTTTTCGGAACTATTAGAGATCACGGTATTCAGGAAGCGGTCCTGTCCATCAGTTGGGCCAAGGTCCGTCATGTAATCTGTGTGGGTGCAGACACGTGTTTAGGGAAGGAAAAAACACGATTGCATTGCTATAGGACTGCTGTTCTTTCCCGTGGATTCGGTCAGGAGATAGTCGATCCAAAAGCCTTAAAAACAGAAACACAGTTTGAGTCAATGTGCAATGAGTTCAGCACCTGCCCTATTTCAATGACCAAGGCGGTCATAGTAGGCCTATAACCTCCATAACACAAGTGTAGTGCCCAGAAGTGGCCTTGCATGGAGCAAACTCGTTAAAAATCGTCTTGTAAAATCGCCATATACTATTAGTCTTCAATTGCTTTGGACATTCTTCCCTTTGACGACGACCTGATCGTCTCCTCAAATTTGACGGGTAAGACCTATCGAATCACGAAGTTAATAGCTCAGTACAGGGTTTGAAGAGACGCTTAGAGATGACCATAACAATTCAATCTTATACATGTAGTAGACAATCAACTGCAAATTTTACGGGGCATTTTAAGACTCGTATTCACTTTTCTAACATACTTTTGTCGGAGTTCAGAAGGGCCACTTCAGTTCAACTCTCCAAGCAGTGGTTTGGGTTTTTGCTTGTTTTTGTCTAATTTTTTGCACTGGAATTTTTTTTTACGCCAATCCAACGTTTCCAGTGCCAAAAAAGAAAACCCGATAAAAAAGTCTAAAAACACGCCAAAAATACGCCCAAACCCAAACCTCTGCTTGGAGAGTACTTAAGTTCATCAGTCCAGAAAACAATACATGTATGTCCAAAACAGCAAGTGTTTAACACCAGACAACGCACCACCACACATAGCCCTGTGACCTGACGATGATATAGCTTGTTTGGCGGCCTGTTTGCACTTGTGGGCCCAAGTCCACTGTGCACAACCTGGAGCCAGCTGACACATGTGCCAGAACAATGGCGCTGGCAGGAAGAGTCCCAGCCTGAGTAAATGTTTATACACAAGTAGTTCATATATAAAGCACGGAAAGTCAACAAAGCTGTTCCTATACCCGTTCTCTGTGACCGAAGGCCTTGCTGACCCCGAGCCATGGACAAGTTTGTTACTTTGTGTGCACTTTTCAAAGCCAGAAGACCACCAGCTAACAACATACACAAAACGACCAACCATTAATTGACAGTGTGTATACAGAATCTGGTTTACCTATGTGGTAGGACCTGATGATCTTGGCTTGTGTTCCTCCGTGTACATCATTCATTTGGAAATCTTAGCTGCCCTATAGCAAGCCATGCAGTGACCTTAACATTTTTGCCCTATATAAAGTAAGTCTACTTTGGTTTCATGTATTAAGAACATGCTCTACCATTTATACCTTGTACGTTAAGCATTTTGTGTAGAAGCAAAGGATTGTGTATATACATGCAAATTAATCACTTCCTGTGTACATGCAAATTATTGATCAAGGGTGCAAAGGCCTTGGAGGTCAGGATTTGCCAGGAGAAAGCCTGGAAACTCAGCTGAGGAGAAACAATCGTCATGGAGTGTTTTAATAGCTCTTCTGACTTCTCATCCTTTCCAATTCATCATCAGTTTGGGATGCTTACCCAGACCAAGTCCGCTCTAGATTCCCTATCCTTCCAATCTCTCTAAGTACTTTCAGAGCATTGCTACCTGTTTGGTCAATATAAGTTCTGACATATAAAGGATTGAAATTGTTCATGCTCACTTTCCCTTGGGTATATCTTCGGTCTCTGGTTTTCTCAAAGACTGAAGGATGAGAATACATCAATACACCAGGCAACAACTTCTGCAGATGCTTTTAATAGTGATGTACACAAACACAATACTCTGATTCGAGCGTTTTCTCCCCCTGTATGGAGTACTGCAGGTTCCCACGAGACATGTTCACAAATCCATGTATTAAGTACGAATCATCAAAGTCTGCACTTCCAGACACTCATCAAAATCTTGGCACTGGCAGAATTTCTTCTTTGTACAGCCACAAATGTACAGTATAAGATCCCACATTAACCACAGTACAGCTTTGCTGTCACAGGCCACATTACATTCCAGAGACATAATTTTTTTTTCTTCATATAAACTCTGTAGTACTTTTACATACTTTTTTTTCCACGATAACTTCCCAGTTACTACATGTAGCACCGGTTAAACAGCAGACAGAGGTCTCTTTTGGTTAACAAAACAAAAAACAAAACTTGAAATAAACATGAACATTTTTAGACCTTTTGTCATAAACAGGAACCAAAATACACGTCTCTCTAATACATAGAATTACTGCTCTCCAAAGCTCTTTGCTTTGCAAGAAACCACAATCATCGACATCATCTTGTACATCAAACAATTTTCCTCTCCATGATTCCTATCACATAATTTTGTTTCGTACTCATGATCTTTGTTAGCTATCAGGTTATTGCAGCACAGGGCATTGTTATGGCTATTGGAGCGTTCCCCTGTCTACCACAGGCCCAGTAGACTGGATGGTCTCTTGTCTGTGGCTATGGTAGGCAGGAGAACGTAGTAAAGATTACTGCCCTAAAGCATACCTACGGCTTGGCACTGAACATCTGCAGACCAGGCCATCACTTCTTCTATAATATCATATCAAAAATCAAACACCTCCAGAAATTCCACTGCCACAATCACTGAACAAAAAAAAGATAACAATTCTGAATACTTCACAAGATTGCACATGGTCAAAACGGCCACCCCAACATTTTTGCCCCAGTGATATTAGTGTCTCCATACAAAAATGTTTCTCTTTAAAGTTTTTCCCCATGCTTCACAATCAAAAATCAATATACAGGGATCCTGCTCTTTTTTTCAGTGGTAGAGATTATGTATACAAACTACATAGTAATAATATACATATACATTTTATATACCGCATACATGTACCACAGCCTATCACATATACAGGGACCATGTATGCATGGAGTTTACAGGGGTACATTGTGTACACATTCCTCTGGGTCGGCACATGGCTTGATGGTGAAGTGAAGTACAAGGTCAAGTTCGAGGGAAGGTCCTGCCGCCACAACAGAGACCTGTCACATTGAAGGTGACCTTGACCTAGGAGCCACAGCCAGTGCCTAGTCGTCCCCCGTCCTTCCTTCCACAGTGGTTTGGTTCCACATCACATCCAGCTACCAAGATGCTGCTGCAGAACAACAATCACAAGTTCATTTATTTTGCTAACTCATATCCAAAGGCTAATTTCAAGGGTACACACACAATTTACAACTAAACTATGCAAGGGATTGCTTATTGTATTTGCAGCTGGACTTCTAATGTTTCTAGACATGCCACTGGCTTAATTTTGAAAAGGAAAAAAGCAAACAAATATGCAAGAGTTATCTTTTAATTGTGGATCATTCCACCACACAGACTGTCCCTATGCAAAACAGTCTGCATTCCTGCCTTTCCGTCACAAAATGATCAGTTTCCTAAATTTTCACCTTCACCAATTAACCCAGGTGTAACTTTAACTAGTTGTCAAGTATGACAAACGTTTCCTATAAAAGTCAAAACTCACTGAAGTTTAAAACAGAAGATATTTGTCGAGCCTGCGGCTGGCCTTCACTGTGCGACCCGATCGTGTGGACGACCTGTCGTAGATCGCATCTGGTACTTTCTTATCATCTTCCTCTTCTTCTTCTGAGTCCTCGGACGAGTCTCCCGTCTCCTCTCCTGTATCTTCACTACTGTCGTCTTCACTCTTAGAGTCTGGGTTTTCACCTTCCCCACTGTTCCCCTTCTCAGGTGGGGCATAGTCAAAGTCCTCCGAATCGTCAGAATCATCCACATAGCTTCTCACCTCAGTTCTACCCTTCCCAGATTTTGTGTCGGAGGAAGACATTGCTGGTGCAGAACTCGCCTGCTTGGAAACTTGTGGTGACGAGATGCCCTTGGTGACCACCCCACCCTTGCCGAGAATTATCTTCGAAGCTACAAGCTTTTCCAGGTTTCTTTTCTTGGATGAGGCTGACTTTACTGTGCTACAACTTTGTCTCTGCTGCTGTGACAAGCAGCTAGATGAGACAGTGTTCTTTTGTCGAGAGGTCTTTGATGGAAACAGGCTCTTCTCAGGTTCGGCAGCTACTGAGGATGGATGTTCCTGCTGCTTTGATGAAGCTTCTTTACCTTCCCTCTCAGGCCTGTCGACAGACAGAGCTTGCCTTTGGGACTTGCCTGCCGGTTTCTTTCTACCCTCTGCATCACTAGAAGGGGTACAGGCAGGGGTGTTCCTTGCAGGCAACGTGCTGGCCAGCTCGAGACCCATCGGTTCCCCCTCGGCGACACGTTTCTCATCCGGCGCCGCTGGTTCATCTGTAGTGCGAGACAAGGGCACAGGTTGCTCAGCTGGTAGACACAAACACACATACATCAACAGCTGCTCGGCTGGCAATAGCAGATGCAGCAGCAGCAGTAGCAGTAGCGGGGAATGTGAGCGAGTGTGCAGCTGTCCTCCCTCCCAGGTGTGTACAGCTGTTTCCTTCTGCAGGCAGCCACGTGGCCGTATTAAGTGCAATGAAGGTTCCTTAACAAGCCAGCCTTAACAACACCATACACCACAGCAAGGCAGGAAGACCTGGTCCATGCTAGTGACTATAGCTTTCCCCTCCTCACACCACCTTAAGCATACTCAGCAACATCACCATCTACATTTTCTTGCTTCAAATTACTTGCGAAGAAACCCAATATGATTGAAGCCAACGTCAACTCCAACAAGGTACCTAAGAGTTCATCATACTCCAGGAAGTACCTTGTAAGAAATTGCAAAGCTGATCAACTTGTCCATTTTTCCAGAGCATTATAAGCTATCTGCAGACTGATGTGCATAGTGGAACTGTGTGGCATGATCTATTTTCATTTCATGTTCAGCCATGGTTACAGTATTGTTGATCAATTTGGCTTTATGCTGTTAATGCAGTGGCCTAGTGTAGCCACAAAAATATGTTTTTTCCATTTTTTCTGACTCATACATTTTAATCTTGATCAAGAAAGTAACAAAACAAAAATTATCAATCTAATCAAAGTTAGCTAGGCACAGAAGCTAAGCTCTTACTAATGCCAGATTACATGAACACAGGAGGAACTGAGACATGCTTTATGAGATTTACTAATGACCAGGTGCAACTGTTCTGCAAAGTCTGAAGTAGGATGGATACCAGGCTGGTTTCAGCAGGCTTTCTCAAAGTAAAGGAAAAGGTAATTTCAATAGCAACTCAGTGGTGGGAGCTACAATCTACTTTGCTATAAATCAAAAGTCACTTAATGATTGCAGAAGAGAAGTCAGCTGTGCCAGAAGGGCTAATCTCCAAGCAGATCTTTGTTTAGACAGTATCAAATTGGCCAGTCTGTATCCATTTAAAAGATCTGCTTGGAGATTAGGAAAAGACAACTTTTCTCACCTGGTGTCAGCTGCTGGGACCGCGGCTGAGACACCTGGACAAATCTTATTGTCTTGTGCTGGAAGAAAAACACAACCGAGGTCTGATTTCAATACTTTCTCACATGTCATTGCACTACAAGTTAGTACAACAGTAAGTGATTTTATTGGGTACTGACAGGTCTGAATTTACAGTTGTGTAATCTGTCAAGCTTTTATTGTTCCAGTAAAAAGGCGAATACTGTATGCTATGCCAATCCGAGAAACAATATTATCATTGATGACTGTCCTATGGTTTTTATTTCCCACATCAAATAATCAGCAAACAATACAAAGCTATAATTTCCAGGTACAATCTTTTCATTGAAGAAACAAAAAGTCTGTTCCATACATTAGACCATACTGGTTGTGATTGTCTTGTTTTACTGTGGTGAAAAACTTTCCAAATGCTACCTCTTTAATCCAATTAAGATACATGTAATCTTCCTAAGTGTGAGAAAAAGTACCTTGTGCTGGGAGCACATTAGAGAGAAGTTTTCTTCACTTAGACAGCAGCCTGAAAAAAAGCAAAGTCATCCACATCAAGTACACATCAGTGCTTATGGCATAATCATCTTGGCAATGGAACTACGTATAATGTTACTGCAGTACAATATATAGCCTCTAAAAATAGTAGAAATTGGCCAAAATAAAGGGAATACTATACCATGGGAGTTGGCCAGCCAGAGGGTACATTTTATGACTCCGCACAGGCTCCATGGGTTGCAAATTGTACCCTCCTTGGCTGGCCAACTCTCCTGGTATAGTATTACCTTTATTTTGGCCAATTTCTACTATTTTTCCAGCAATCCGCGGCTCCTGGTAGCTAGAGGCTACAATGTATATGATAGAACAAGTCTAGTCTGTTACAATGGATCAAAAACGCCCCCTGTTGGTTGATAATGGATCTGCATCAAGAGCAAAAACAATGAGCATCGCCAATCCCTCTATTCGAAGGTAAGGCCACATATCCTTTGGCTTAATAGGTTTAGCACTACATATGCGATCTTGACCAGGATTTTACCTGCATCCACAGCACAGACGTAGTGGTACTTCAGCTGACAGCCTTTGAAGCCACACCCCAGAGTAGCCCCCACTGTCTGACACTCACTACAGGACTGTAGGGAAAGATTTACAAAACATCAGAACAGGTACACTCAAAAGCAGCTTCGTGTAGCAACAAAGCAATCTGGCAGAGTACATGGACAAAAATTCAGCCTAGCAACACAGTAGCCCTTCAATATGCAAATCCTTAACATTTCATTACAAGGAATAAGTCGAAAAAGAAAAGAAAATACAGCTACATCATATGGGCAATCAAAATACATGAAACGTTCGACTTACATGTTGCCGAGCTTCCTTGATGGCTTCTTCGAGCCCATGTAGACGTCCTCCCAAGATGAACACACCGCTCGCCCAGACAGCACACTGGTCGTGTGTCCACACCTCATCCAGGTACATTGGCACAACCACAGCCTCCAGTGAACACGGGGGACTGCCTCCCTCCTTGCCTTTCCTGGCAGCCACCTTGGCACCACCTTTGTGAGCAGCCTTTCGACCCTTCTCCCCACCACTCTGAGACCTGTGTCTTCTTTTCGACAGTGGAGTATTGGTTGGGCTGGACAAGCCAGAAGGCCCTGGCTTGGGCTCGGCACCAACTTCTGAAGGGTTTCTACTTCTGCTTTTCCGAGACTTGTTGTCTTTCAAGTCCACAGAAGGTTTTGGCGGTGTTTTGGTTTGGGTCAGAAGCGGCCTTTTCCCTTTCCCTTCCAGGTAGTAGGGACCAAACAAGTCGCCCAGTTCTTTGTAGTTGGGTGACTTTCCACAGAAGGAGCACACCCATTTGGCATGTGTGACCGGATGTGTGGGGTGTGCACTGCCAATGTCTATTTCTGTTGTCTTGCTTGAGACCTTCTCCCGGTGACTGTGGTGCACGTGGCTGTGGTGCTTGTTTTTCTGCTTCTTCTTTTTGTGCTCACTTTTGCCGGAGTCTGCTTCGTTTGGGTTGTTGATCACGGTGCACGAAACCGGGCTCTCGAGCTGGCCGGTGATCCGTACTATGGGACCTTGTGTAGGGGTGTCATCACGTACCATCCTCTTCAGCCCTGCAGTTGCTTCCCTGCTTACAGTCTTAGGGGTAAGGGTCTTAGGGGGAGTTTCCTCCCTGACTTTCTGCTTCACAGCTGGGCTCCCTTCTTTACAAACTGGCTTTGACTCCGTTTCTACTCTCTTTGTTTCAACTCTCTTAGTGAGTGATATTTCCTCACCGTCACTGGTAGTCCTGAACTCAAACGGTTCTTTGGACAAAGTCTTTTTCTTTGGGGACTTTTCTCCCTTCTCCCCCTTTCCTTTTAGCTCCGCCTTTCGATTGACGGTCTTTGCCCCAAACGGCCTGCCACGTTTCTTTTTTAGGCTACCATCTGGCATGACCACGAGGTTTCCATCCACGATCATACCTGGCTTCAAGTCTGCGGACTTGACTTCATCAGACTTTACGTGCTGGATGTACTTGGAGTTTGGAGAGTGAACTTTTTTAGGAACAGGGCTGACTTTAGTGGGTGAAGTTTCTGTTGTGGGCGAAGTTTCTGTTGTGGACAAAGTTTCCTTTGCCTGAACAGGTTTTTTATTGAGGCCTGCCTCTTCTCTCACACTACTATCTTCTGACTCATGCATTGGTGTTGACTTGGAATACTTTGACTGTTTGGTCCCACAGCTGGGAGGTTTTTCTAATGAAGTCCTTTTAATCACACCTCCCTTTTTTGTCTTACTTTCCGTCTTGTCCCAAGTCAGTTTCCTGCAAGTCGAATGAGAGTTATTCTCTCTCGGAGAAATCTTCACAGTAGAGACAGAGAGCGTATTCTCCTTTTTCGACAAACTCGTCTCTGCCACCTGAATTTTCGACCAGTCCTTATGGACATCTTTCATTGGTGACTTCTTTGGTGACAGACTTCTCTCAGTGGACAGTCTCTCCTCTTTTGGTCTCTTTTTCGGGGAAGATTTCTGAGGAGAACCTATGGCAGATAACTTTCTCTTCTTCGGGCTGGAGGGCTGGTTGGGCTCTCCGCCTGGTGACAACTGTGCTTTCACTTTCGAACTGTTGTCAACAGTACGAGTGACGCATATCGTCTCTTCCTCCGCATCGGAGAGGGGCATCAAGTTCTGTTTGCGCCTACTCCGAGGACTTGCAGCGAAGTCTGCCTTGGGGCTTAAGGTCAGGATGCTTGGAGAGCCGGCCGACGCTGTTCTGATAATCGACAGCGGGCTCGTCGTCACGACTGTTCCGCTGGATGATACGCTGGAACTGTCGGAAACGATGGCAGTGACTTTAGATGAGTTGGGAGATGTAGCCGACTGCAGCTTGGAGCCTGACGCAGAACTCGACAGGGCAGCGACACCCCTGGAGCCCACTGTAAGAACCAGGCTGCTCTTGGGAGAAACTGACCTTACAGTGGAGGTAGACGGTGACTGGGCACTGGAAACCAACACTGTTGATGATGTGGTGGCATTTGGGGAGTTTCTCTTGGGGCTCTTTGTGATCACTGAGGGCTGCTTCGGTGACGTAATGTGCTTGCTATCCCCACTGCATTTGGCATTCGGTGGAGAATTTTTCTCGCTCGAGCGAGGGTTAGCCTTTGGGCTGACATCTGAGGAGCGAGGACTCCTGTTCTCCTGCAGAGGCACCAGGGTTGACCCTGACGTTGTACTTGTGACTGTCATGGAGTTGGTGGTTCCTGTTACCTCCGAACTGGACACTTGGACGATGACAGGGTAGGCAACCACGCTCTGCTGGGACGTCACAGCAGCGGGCTGGTGGAGTAAGAGTGATTTGGTCACAGTAGACAGTGTTTTCCTCGAACGCTTCTTTTTCTTTGAACCCTCCTTCTTAGGTTCCAATTCTGCAGCCTTAACCGGTGGAACCTGTATTTTGTCCTCTGTATCGTTTCTCTTGGGGGAAGTTGACGAGTCTTTGGCACAAAGTGGGTGGTCAGGAGAAACATCTGCATTGGTTTTACTGACATCAGGAGGCGTATCACTCAGAAATCCACTATCCCCGGACATGTCCGACGACTCACTACTGCTCGGCCCATTCGGTAAGTGCTTTTCATCCGTGACACACTGGATCCGCAGACTTTCCTGGCTTTGAATCACAGAAACCTTACACGCGGGTCCGTTAAGCAGCTCCTCCGCGTGTGCCTTACCACGTTCCTCGCTCCCGCATTCCTCACAGAGGGACACGTCGGAATTCCCCGCGGCAGAAGACGACACGTCTTTGGTGTTACCACTACAACATTCCACACAACCATTTTCACAACACTTGGACGCAACACTACACGTAGGTTTGGAGGAGTGCTCCTCCTCCTTCACGTCTGTACAACCTTTATCCCTGTACTTACTATGGCGAGGTCTCTGTAAACCTAAAAAAAGATCCGGTTTCGTTTCATTTTGTGAACCATCATACTTCGCGACTGTAGTTCTTTCCACGGAGTGATCCTCGCACGTTGGATTGTGATCTTTGTGAATTCCCGGTACCGTTTCATCCTTAACATTATTACCCTGTTGTGTTGTAGTTGAAAAGCAGCCAGCAGATCCATTACCGAAGTTGGCATCCCCACAGGAAGTTGCATTCCCAAATCCTATGGAAACACTGGAATCCCCTTCGTGCTCCCCGCAGTGAATTCCATCCGAACACACGCTCGGCTTGGGTTCTGCTGGGTGTTCCAGTTTAGTTCTTTTTTCAGGGGGTCCATCGACCTGCCGAAAATTTTCCATCTGTTGTGGCGTGTGTGGGTTGGTGTAGTTCTGTGCATTCTCCTGTCCCTCGGAAGGGCCCATGTTCTGGGACATGGAGTTCCCCTCCTTGGTTTTCCTTCTCTGCCTGGGTTTGGACCCCCCTGTGATGGGGGCAATGTCAGCGGGGAGGGGCACCTGTTGGACAGTGTTAGGTAGGTTGTTCACCTGGGAAGCTAGGGCGTTCAAACTACTCACTCCAGAGATGAAGTTACTGCTAGTGGGGATGTAGGGGCTCTGCCTACCGAAGGTGGAACTACTGAATGTCGTGTCTGTGCGACAGTACGAGGGCTCTGTCCTGTAGAGAGGGTCTGGGGGGTCGTACATACTGGGTGGGGGGTGGACCTGCTGGGGAGGGCTGCTGATCATGTGGGGGGACTGCATGTGTGAGGGGGAGGGGCCGGGGCCAGGGGATTCCCCAGGGGTGGGGAGGCGTGAGGGCCCTCCGTGTGGGGACTGTACGTACCCTGCGACAGGCTTGCCCTGCATGTGAAGGCCCATCCCCGGGGACCGGATGGCAGGGCCGGGGGAGGGGTTGGAGATGGGCGACGTCACCATGTTGGAGGGAGAGCTAATCGTGTTGGAGCTAGAACAACCCAGGGGTACGGGGGACCTGACCTGCATCTGGGAGGGGGAGGGGCTGAAGTGCTGTGCTTGCTGGGCGGGGGACGGATACACGAAGTGGTTCCCTTCCCTGCCTGGCATTAGATGCGGAGAGGAAGGGTTCTGTACAGTACCCATGGGACTTCTGTACCCACTCAGTCCACCCATCCCCCCCTGCATGGCACTTCTGTCCATCCCCTGAGCGTTCACCAAGTACGGTGACGGCCCCCGATGGTCCATGGAAGGGGGAGGAGGGGAGCGGTACATCTCCCCTGCCTGTGACTGCATGCTCATGGGGGGTCTGATATGGTGGTACCCCTGCCCCCCTCCCGGGACGGGACTAGGCACCCCCGCGGGACCCCCCATGTACCCTTCCATCTCCCCTGCACTTAATCTCCGCTGCGGGACAAACTGACCCATGTGTCCGTCTGACGGACTTCTGATGCGAGGGTAGAGGCCCATGTCTACCTGCTGCTCCCTGTACATCATACCCTCCTCCCGTGGGTCACCTAGGAACATGGGGCGTTGCTGGGGCAACGGTGGGGACCCCGGACCCATGGAGGGGTGCTGGGGCATGCCCAGTTGTTGGGAGGGGTGCATGGGTGGGGGGGTTCCTCTCATGGAGGTGGGGGGAAACTCCTGCAGGGGGTAGCTGCCGGCAGACTGCTGCATGGAGGGGCCGTAGGGTGGGGGTGAGGCGTATCTCGGCGGCTGCTGCTGGCCCATCAGGTGAGGTGGCCCGGGCTGGGGTGGCCCTCCCATCATCCCTGCCTGCTGGCCCTGGTACATGGGAGGTGGTGGAGACTGTGGCCAAGAGCCCCCTGGTGGCCGAGCCATGAGCTGCATCCTCTGATGGTACTGTACATATCTGAAAAATGAAAAGATCCTACAGGTTACAACAATACCTTTCACCCATTGTTCAAAGTACAGCTTGGGGACTTTCAGATTACTTCAAAGACGGATAGATCTGTTTGTACTAGTCTTTTTCATGAGGAAAACATTGCTGTACTTAGGTCTTGGATCACATCAAGTCATTCTTCCATTTCATGTAAGCATCCTTTGTTGTAGGCTAATTGAAATGTAGCAGTGCCATAGGATATGCTGCGGCATACAAAAGAGCAGAAAGCTTGAGGAATGTCTAATACACAGCAGTGGTGTGACAAAAATGTTCTGTTTTGGTTGGAATACATTTCAACAGAACTGTTTGGCTGTTGCCAAAGTCAGCAAACAGCATAGTTACATGTATGTACAGGGTTCGAAATACCAACTCTTGCCATGCAAGTCATGTTTTCCTTGTGAAACTTACTGGAGAAACCAGGTTGCCCAGAGTGCATGACTTTATCATTTTTTCATACAAAGTGACCTTTTTGAAGTTTACAGTGGAAATAAACTGTGTCATGCCTCAGCCAGCATATGAGCAATACCTTTACAGGTAGCCTGACTTACAGCTTGCCATCTAAAATAAACAGCCGGTGTTGACCAGTAACCTGAAATATTGATGGGCAACCTGGCCTTTGGATGAGAAGTAAAGAATTTTAAACCTTGATGTACTTCTGTAACACACACACAGGAGGCTGAATTTATAATAACGTAAAAAAAAAAGTATAACTTACTGGGATGACCTGGGGTTGGGAGGGGGGATCTGGTACTGTTGTTGTCTAGCCTGGTGCTCGATCTGTGCCAGGGTTTCCGATAGTTGAGGTGATACGCCCGGGTGCCTGGCCGGGTCGCCTGGGTGTCCACCTGGGTCGTTGGGGAGCCTGCCTGGGTGTGGTGGGACGGGGTCTGCCATGCCCACCTGGTGTGGATGTGGGTACTGAGGCATCATGGTCGATCCCGGCCCCATCTGTGGACAAATAAACAAAAAACATCATCATAAAGTCACAACAATGCATACATATATTTTTTTGTACAATGCCTAAGCATGCTACTACAGATAAAACTGCCCAAGAAGACAACTTGGGGGACTGCTAAAATCTGGTCTATGTGAACAGGTGCGTTACTATAGACAAGATTCTTAGCTGTGTCAATTGGCCAGTGTATCCTTAATAATGTAAATGTATTATCTTTTGCTGTTGATGTGACAATGTAACATTGAAGTGTATGAACAGGCTATGGTTGAAAAAGATATCACATGAGATATCTATGATTCAACAGACATTGTACATGTAATATCATCCTGAAACTGAAAATATAGAAAATATGGAGAAAAACACAGATGTACGTGTATATCATGTTGTTTATCAGTTGATAATGAAAGATAATTTGCAACACAAGTCGCAGTTTTGATGAACTTTTCAAGAACTAAGTCATAACACACTTTACTGCTTGACTGCTGTAGGCATAGGTATAACCCAAAATGTTATTAGAACTTTGTTATGGCCACAAATTTCAATCCTGGAAGTATAATTTTCGTATTACATGTACCTCAGGGTGGTTGGGGGAAGTTTAACAACCCAGGGCAGTGGGCCAAAAATGCCTACTTTCCCATATAATATTTTGCCCAATTTCAGATATTGGACATACATGTTCTGGTACAATTTTAACTATCTCTGGTAACCATGCTAAACCCTGAATCTTGATTAACAAGCAGAATGGTTTTCTGAGATAGGTTCTGCTGATGTTCTATTTTATCTTATTTAGTACACCCAAAATTTCTCTGTGCACCTACCCAGAAGAATTAATTTCAAGCCCTGTCATTTATATTAGGTCACCTCAACATTTCAAGTTGATTGATGTCATAACTTATTTCTCCTGGAAATTCTGGCATTTCACACCACTTCTCAAGGTCAGTAGGAGCACTTCAGACCCGGGAAAGAGCCATGTTTTCAGTCATCATGCATGGTGAACAAATATCCATCATTGGACAGCATATGCCACACGAAATGATGACTATATTTCATCTTTTCCTGCCTAATTGTATCACTGCTACCTGTCATCTTTACGTAGTATACTAAGGGAGTGACAGAAATTAATTCATGACTGATGTTCCTTGCATTTCATTTGTCACTGACAGAAATTTCTATCTACCTATTGAGAAAAGGATTCTGATGGCGAGAGAGATCATCAGCCAAGTACACTGGATAGATTATCACTGAAACTCCCTGTTGGTACATGTACATTTTGTAGCTCCCCTTCCACAGAGTTAAGGAGCAATATCAGTGTATCGTCTATCTGAGGGTACAAAACGAGCTGAAAAACAGACCAACTGAAATAGAGAAATAATCAAAAGATCGCAAGTGTCAGTTCTGACTGACAGTAAACCATGTACATGTATGTCCCTCCCTTTGGACTTAAACCAAAGGTGGCATCTGAACAGCTTCTAGCAGCTTTGCCAAAATTCAAGTTCATTTTGGCTTCAAGAGACAAAGGAAAAAAAAATAACAATTTTGGGAAGATAATAATACAACAAGCCAAAAAATTTAACCAGTTATATTGAAAATAATATGTCTAGAAAAATGGGATTGTGAGCAGCAATCATACGACGGGTCATATAGTTTTGGTAGAAAGATTCTCTAACAAACTCTCGATATTAATAAACAAATACCAACTGTCTTTAGGTCAGGCAAACCTCATCCATTAGTGTTACTGCTGGAGTGAAACCCTGTTACCTCAGTAATCTAGTTATAATGAAATCATCTACGAGTGAGGTAATTTTTCCTAACAAGTAGATTTTCTCCTGTCCACTGAGACACACAAAAATGACTTCCTTCAGAACCTGTATGTCAGGGTTGGGTTGTCCACTTATTTGCCATACTACCTGCAAACTGAGGGAACTGCCTGGACCTCAAACAAGCCCTCTGGCATGATAGAGAATGATTTACATGCTTTCCAAGCAACCTATCTCGGCAGATCTTCTGTGTTCATATCAATGAAAAGTCTCGATAACAATAAACATACCAGGTACTTGACTCTTTTGAGCCATGTCATCTTCATTATTTACTAAATAGATAACATGCACCTGTGATAACATTTTTAGAAGGTGACTTTAACTAGCTTCAATAATGTCTTTTTTGCCAAATCATTTCCTTTGCAGATTAAAAAGATGGTTAAAAAGGAATGGTTTTTACTCTACCTCATTTTGATGGATATCAAATGTTCTAATGTCACTGACATGTAAAACTGAATCTGTTCTATCTCTGTTTTCCATCATGATACAATATACCTTTGCAATAAACTTGAAGCGACCTCGGGACAAAATCTAGCGAAGGAAATAAATTTTTCCCGTCAGTGATTTTGGAGGGCTCCGATGTTCATGTTTTAATTGGCACAGTTAACAGGAACAAAAGAAATATCCTGCGTAACAAAATTATGGCAAGAAATGCTGGCAACGTAAAAGTTGCTTCTTGTTCATGGCTCAAGAATGATGATATAATTTATCCTTCATATTAGATGCCTTGAGGTACATGCATATAGAATGGAACTACATGTGCAACCTCTATGTCAGCTAGTGTATTAACTTATGAAGTAAATTTTATCAAACTAGTATACTCTCAAAATCAAATGGCAATACTTTCAACATCCTATTTTGATGCCATCATGATTACAGTACTGATATTCAGGACCCTCCCTCTAAAATAAATACAAGTACAAAACAGGTAGTACTTGAGGCATACAACCAAACCTTGAAATTTTAGATTGGACATAGTCATATTACTGTAAGTCTCTTTAGATTCGCGGGGCCTAAAGTTCGCGGTTTCGGGAAAATGGACAATCCGCGGTATTTTTAGATTCGCGATTTCTCCTTGGCTATTTTTCAAAGAAAAATTTGTAAAGTGTATATTTAAAATAATAAAAGTTCGTGTTCCGGCATTTATATCCTAAAGCGCGGTGCAAAAATTTGTTTCGTGCACCGTGCGAGACTGCCAGCGGTATAGCTGACGATCGATCTGACGCACGTGTAAACAATTTTCTTTGTTCGGAAATAAGCGCTAAAACGCTATTTTCCACGACTACACATCGATACTCTAGTGAAGAAATGCATAATCGAAAGAATCTTTCGTGACAATATATATTACTAAGAATATTTATACCGTCTTCGGCGAGATTTTGAACCCGGAAGTATGCAAAGGTCGCCTACGGTTTTGTAGCGGCCCACGGTAGCGTTTCTATCCAGCAAAACAAGAAAAAAAAACGCCCACAAAGCAGGGCGCAAAAGAGAATCAACTAACACTTCCCAGGTACCAGCAGTTATATTTTTCATCAAAATACTTGTAGATATGCCCGATGTGCTCGCAATTTTCAAGCGCCCGGGCGCGCATGGCCGGCGCTCAGCACACAGAGATTTTTGTCCGGCGGTGTACGTTTGACACGGCCAGTGCCGAAGTATCACGATTCGGTGTCTCACAATATTATAATTTTTTGACATCAGTATAACTAAAAAAAAATTTGGTACTCAACATACGTACATTTGCTAAGAATGGAGTTGATTTGCAGTGATTTGTGTTTGTCGCGTGTGTTTGTGTTTCACTTACCGTCGTGAATGCATGTGGGGAGGGGGGCGCACTTACGCAAAACATATTCGCGGGGAAATAGATTCGCGGTACAGAGGTCCCCGCGAATTCCGCGAATCTAAATATACCGCGGAAATTTGTAGACTTACAGTACTTGTGCATGAGTAGCATTACCCGTAAACTAACCAGGACTTTAGCAAATATACATCTGTAAAGATCTACACATTCATCTGAAGCTTCAAAACAGTTCAACCTGAAGAATACATAATGGCGGCGACAAAGCTGAGCATAACACAATATAACACAACGGAACAGTTTTCCCTTGATACCTCCTAAACACACTCAGCCTGGCAGTCTCAGGTGGACCTGATACATGAGGGGCCGCCGTAATCGACATTTATGTACATCAACAATGGCACTCATCAACTCACCCCCAGTCCAACCACAACTCTCAATGAACAGCTAAAATAACTACCATATTCAGTGCTTTAACAGCATCCACAACAATGTAACCAGCGTCATTTTAGAAAAACTGCACCATGTTAACCTCACTTACTGTGTTAAAGCCTTATTCAGGAAAATATATGAGTGTAATTTCTATTGAATATTGATCATGTGGTTTTGATTTAGTCGTCCAGTCTACTTAACACCAAAGCTGTCTACCTGCAAAGAACATGTTTATAGCAAGGCTAAAATTGATGATGGCAAAACTAACACTCCCAGGCAATAACCTTTGCCAAAGGTCAATCTGCGGTATCTAAAGATCCTCATAATTTCTGTCATTAATACTCGTTAAGTCCTTTCAGTTATTAATAACATTGATGATATAATGTGACATATATTGCTGTAGACAATATAAAAAGTAGCGCTTAGAAAGACATAAACGCAAGACTTCTTTCATAAAAGCCTTTGTTATTTCTGCAACTTGTTTTGGTTTCACTTTCATTCTTTTAAGTACAATTTACCATTTTATGTAAGGATATCATTTTCAATATTGTTTAAACATTACACTGCTGCAGAAATGACGGAAATAACTAGTCTGCTCGCTGTCAAATTAGCTTCCTTTTGGCCCTAAAACTGGTGCAAGGACAGCCCTCTCTCCCTCCAGCCCTACAAAAACAATCATCTCCTGCAGCCAAATTTCCCCATGCCTGACTGCCTGAGTGCTTCAGTGCCAGTGCTTGGGTAAGATGATTATATTTGAGGGTAAGAAGTGCGCTGGCACGCTGCCGAGCGCTCACAGGGCTCCCCATCAGATTACTGCCACTGTCCACACACCAGAAATCTGTCACAGAAGCGAACACAATCACCACAGGCACTGAAAATTCAAAATGGCTGTCACCACCACCTATACAGTCTGCCTATCCCAACAAAACCACAGGAAAAACAAGAT